GTAGGAAGCAATGCTGCATGCAGAGCGCTAATTAAAACACAAATATTGCACTAATTACCGTAATTATCCTTTAGTCCCTCCATAAGCCATGCTCAGGGATCTCCCCAAACCTTGCGCCCACCCCGCCTCCTGTGGGGATGTGAGGAGCCCTCAGACCACGGCACTGAAGGCCCTGTGACCGACCCCATCCCCACCCTGTGCCACCAGAGCGGACTTGGGATGGATCCCTTCCCGTGGCTGTAGTCCCCGTCCCGTGGGCACTGTTCCCATCCCACGAGTGCTGCTTCCTCTGCCTGGACACTCCATGCTCTCCCAGCAGCATGAGGGCATTGGGCGACAGTCCCTGACCGCCCCAACACAGCCAGGCCACCCCGCTGGCTACAAATGGGGACAAAACCACAGCACAACACGGCAGGCTCGCACTTTGTGATGCTGTATTCACACCGAGGTGCGCAGCCCGCACTGAGCTGCAGCGCTGTTGGGAGGAAAAGCAGCTTCGTGTTTTATGGGCCAGCGCTGCAGTGCGCCTACCACGGAAAGGGAGCACGGCACAGCTCTGCTGGCTAACGCACAAAGCGCCGGTACACCGAGATAACGCTCTGACAGCCTCAGGAGTGCACAGACCGCAGGGCGAGCCAGAGGGCCAGCAGTGCTGCAAGGACGCCGCAGCAGCAGACGCACCGCGCACACGGCGTGCGGCACAGCCATCGCACAGCCGGGATGGACAGCAGCCACTTCAGGAGCCGCGTGTGCCACCAGCCCCGCAGCTGCCGCTCCATGTTTTTGGCCAGGATATCGCATTTCTCCTCGAAGTCGATGTCCCGGCGCTTCAGGAGCTGCACGGCGTCGTCGAAGAGCTCGTTCCGGTAGTGGGCGCTCAGGTCTCCCCCCAGCATGCGCAGCACCGTCTCCAGCAGCTCCCCGACCCGCTTCTCTCCCGCCCCCCCGACCGCCCTGTTGTCGAAGGCGCAGCACCGTCCCCCGCAGTCCCTCAGCAGCTCCCGCAGCGCGGCGGTGCCGGTGTCCTCCACGTGCCGCCGCAGGGAGCCGCCCGTCAGCTCGTCCCCGCGCGTGAAGACCACGACGGTGCGCTCGGCAGCGCCGCGCCCGAACAGCCGCCACACTTGCCGGATGGCCGCCTCGTCCTCCTGCGTGAAGCGGCCCAGCTGCGTCACCAGCAGCAGCGCGTGCGGCCCCGGCGCCGACAGCAGCGCGCAGCGGGCGACCTCGCGGAGGCACCGGGCGCTGCGCTCCGGCGTGTCGAAGGCGTCCGGAGTGTCCACCACGTGCAAACGGTAACCCCTCCACGAGCCGCTCTGCCACTCGCTCCTCTGCGTCACCGCGCGCGTGGACAGCCGCGACTCGAAGGCCGCCCGCCCCAGGACGCTGTTCCCCGTCGCGCTCCTCCCGCCGCCGCTCTTCCCGACGAGCAGCAGCCGCAGCTCCGGTGGCGCTTTGTCGTCCCGCATCCAGCAGCCCTTCGGCTCCGGCTGCCGGAAGGGCTCTGCGGGGGAGCGGAGGGGCGTGAGGCGTCCTCCGGAGCTGGCCGCACGCCCCTGGGGCCGCCCGCCCCGCGTCGCGCTCCCGCGGACCCCGTCCCGTTCTGGGCACCGCCCGCCGCCCCCCGCGCCCTCACCGTCGCTGTGCATCGCTGCTGCGCGTGGGCCGGCCGAGGCCGAGCTGAGCCGGGGCTGCACGGGGACGGAGAGGGCGACCGCGAGCACGCAGCGATGGGATCGGGCGCCGTTCGTCCGCGGGAAGCGGCGCCGACCGCTCCGACTCCTGACGGAACGGAGCGCAGGAGGTGCCGGATCCCGGCCGGCTTTTATGCGAGGGGGCGGAGCACGACGGGCCATGCGGGAACAGCCGGGGACGCGGAGCCGCGGGGAGCAGCCGGGGGTTGCCTGTCGCTCCGCGGGGAGGGGCCGCCCCGCCGGCAGCCGGGCCGAAGTCCGCGCGGACCGTAAACGCCTTTTCCCGTAAATGCACCCGGTTCCCCCCGCGCCGTCCCGAGCAGCGGAGCCGCGCGGTGCCGTCGCCACCCCGAGCACGAGCGGACGCCCCGCCCCGCCGCAGCGCCGCCCCGCGCTCCCGCAGCGCCGCGTCCCCCAGCCGAGCTCCTCCGCGCCGCGCGGCCCCGGGGGTCGCCGTCCTCCCTGCCGGCCCGCGCCCGCGCCCAACCCCGGGGGCTCCGGGGTGGCCGGGCGCTTCCCGACTCGCCCCGACGCGACGCGCTCCGCTGGGGGCTGCCGGCCCGACGGGGAGCGGGGCGGCGGACGGCCGCGGGCACGGAGCGGCACCGGGGCTGCTCGCGGGGCGGCTCCTCGGTGCCCGCACTCACCCGGCGCCGTTCGGCCCCGGCCGCAGCAGCGCAGCCGTCGCGGTTTCGTGTTTTTTTCCTCGTTATTCCACTTTCCCTGCGTCACGCAGCGATGGGAGTCAACGAGGCGACGCGGCGGCTCCGAAGAATGAGCTACAACTCCCAGAAAGGCACGGCGCTCCCACAACGCTTTATTTTGTTATTTCCATCTTCCAGGAGGAGGCAATGACAGCAGAACCGAAAGCTCACAGCAGCGCTCTCCTTTGCTCCCTGTGTGTCACAGCTGCTGCAGAATCAGCACAAGAGCTTTGCGTTTTGGAAACTCTCGTTTATTTAGTAGCCCGTGGTTTTCGTCACGGTGATTAGATCTTAATTACAGAAAAAACACAACCATCACCACCACCGTTTGCGCTGGCGCCCCTCGCGCTGCCTGAGTGCGATGCTCACAGCCCTGTGCAGCACCTCATCAGCCTGCATCTCCCGGTCCTCCCGCGTGTAACGGCCCAGCTGTGTCACCAGCAGCAGTACGCAGGGCTCACGGGCAGCGAATCTGAGGCAGCGCTGGCGCTCCTCGGCCAAATGCTGCTTGTCCCACTGAGAGCCCCCGAAAATCGCCGGGGTGTCCATGACCACCACGCACCACTCGTCCCAATCCCGCCTGCCGTCTTTGCACGTGGTGGTGACGGGTTGGGAC